CGAGCACGCACGACCGTGCTGATGAGGCTTGTGCACAGTCGACCGTTGACTCGCATGCGAACTGCAGCCGCCATCACCGTACGCACGAACTCCCCAAGCCAACGTATACGGCCAACCACCGATGCTTTTCTTGAACTGTTCGTAACGTTTCATACTAGACCCTTTGGTTAGCCTATTCAAACCTTTTTCTTCCAAGCCTTGAACCGAGAACTCCAAGTCCCACTAAAATGTGTATAAATCCTTAATCGATGATTTCTGATTAAGGAGTGTAGTTAATGAGTCCGTATGCTTTACTTGAGAGTTCCTCGAGTCAGCAAGTTGGGAATGTCGTGTTGCTTTTGGTCAAGCCTTATGTTTGTGCCTAAGGGTAGCGTTCGACTCGTGGAGTCGATATCATGAGAGTATGAGCATGATGGTGTCATGTTGTATATAGGTGGTACCATGTTGTGGTCTCGGATGGAGACGCACGGTCTATGATGAAATCGTGAGCAAGTAATCAGTGTGACTCGAACACGAGACTGAAACTTGGCGTCACGTGTCCACCTTAATGGTGAGGTAGTAGGAGTACGCTGACAATACACCGAACGACCTGTTGAGGTCTTGTGTGCTGTTATGTACGAAGCAAGTCGTTGATACTCATGAGTATAGGCTAAACCGAACAGGGTCCTTTGCAAGAGGATGTACGCCTGAGCTCGGGCACGACTGATCACCCTTCCAAGCAAGAAGGTAAACATATGAGCATAGGGCGAGTCGGATTGGTTCCTGTATGTGAGTACATGCCTTTCGAGTATAAGGCGATAGGACTCATGGGAACGGAATCGAGTTCCGGAGAGTGATGCCCGGACCTCGTGATTGGAAATTCCTGTGCGAGTCTATCGTTTCCTTTTTGATGTGTGTTCTTTCGTGTTTCCGATGACGGAAATGTTTTAAGGGGGATAGATTGTAGCACACCGTTCGATTTATAGAATTTCTCGGAATATTCTATTTATTGAATATTATTTATACGGTTATATTTATTTTATTTGTCGCGATGTCGACTTTAATAAAAGGTTGGAATACCCAATTGTTTTATTGAAAAACATTCGTCGTTCGACGATTTCGGTTTAATCGCCGGAATTGATTATAATCCGTTTGAATAATGGGTCTTTCGTATATTTCGGCATTATTAATATTGTTATTCTATTTTATTTTTCCGAGCATTATATATGTTCGGATTTTATGAAATTGAGCCCGATAAACCGATAATCGAAACTGGCCGATTCGTAAACCCATTTATTTATGAATAATTTTGGGATTATTATTATTATTATTATTATTAATATTATTTATTGTTATTATTATTATTATTATTATTATTATTATTATTATTATTATTATTATTATTATTATTATTTATTGAATGCCTAATTGCCTTTATATGTCTGAATGTGTATTATTATTAATTATTTAATGTGTGAATTATATATAAAATAATATCCAATTTATTTTACATAGTCGAGCACGGGAATAACCGAAAAACCGAGCCGCATTAAACCGCACGACCCGAACCTCGGCCCGCGCGCCCCAGCCCAAAACCGGCCCCTCCATCTCTATTCCGTGCGTGTGAGTGTGTGAGTATTTTCTTTTGTATCAAGAAAATTTAACCTAGACTATATATGTATATATATATATATATNTCCTCAAGTTTTCTTTTTTTTCACGCCACAGCACCAGCAGAACCTCCATCACCATCGAACAACAGAGCTTCTCTCTTCATCTTAATCACCATCATCCTTCACGAACGAAATAGCTGCTCCTCTGCAATCCTCTGCTGCGAAACCGACCACTGCTGCTCGTTGTCATCGCGGCATGCCCGACTCCGACGACCAGAACCGCAGCGACCAGCCCCTTCCGGCGAGCTCAGCAACCCCGACATCGCGCGCAGACGACCCCTCGATCACCTGCAACTCCGACGACTTCCTTCTCCGTGCAGCAGCTCCTCGCGACGCTGCTCCTCCGCCGATCATCCGCAGAACCTCGTCTTGAACCAACAGCAACGTGCACCATTCCGCCGGCGAGCCCAAGCGAAAGCGGTCGAGTTCCAGCCCGTCAACTCTCGTCCGACCTATTTTTCGAACGTAATCCCGAGAACGGTACCGAGGCTCATCCCACTCATTAATTTCGTATTTATTTGACGTATTGAGCATGCTTTACGAACATATATAAGCTCTATGATTTTATGTGTTCGGTTGGTTAAATTCGATTTTTGTGTGAAGTCGATCTCTTCGATTTTGAGAAATCGAGTGAGACCTCGTAATTCGTGACTAAGTTGCTCTGGATTGGAACATGACGTGTCCATGGTCTTACGGTGAAGGCTTCGGACAAATTCGAGTCTCGTCTAGTCGTACATGAATTGTCGAACTCGTAAAATTACTGTTTTCGTATTAAATTCGTTAAAAATTGTATGCTGCTCCGATTGTCATGAAATTTTAAGTGTTATGTCCTATAATTAATATAATGCTCGTGTAAAAATTTTAATGTTTTATTCGGCCTGTAGCGAATTTAATTAATTAAATTGATTTCTGGACAGAAACGTGTTAATTGCATAATAAATTAAGTTGTGCTCCAAAATTGATGAAATTTGAGTATGTTATTTTCCTATCTGATTTAGAGGTTGTTTAATATTTTCAGAATTTTCGGACTTCGCTTACTAGGGTTAACAATTATTTAATGTATTCTGCCGAACCTTGTTATAATTTTCATAAATTGACCTGATGTGGTAAATTGCTGAATTTTGGTGTCTGGTCTTGTTTTGTGATGTTCTTCAGTATGTGAAAAGATGGGATTTATTTGGGTTCATTTTTGTTCAATTTTAATAAAAATTTGAAATCTTCAGAAATTTGTTTTAATTTTTAAAATTCGTGTAGTTAATTTTAATTTCTTAAATTTTTATATGTTGTCAATAACATGTTGTAGCTACTTGTGTTAAAATTTCAAGTCATGATTTGTTCATTAGGTCTGGTTATATATTTATCTTCGTTTTTGCTGTAAATTTGTGAGAATTTTATAAAATCATGTGTTTTGAGTTAAGGGCTTAAATTTGGTGGTTTTCCTAAGTCCAGTGAGGTGGAATTTTGGTTAAAATTTCAGATCCTAAATCATCCGGTAACCTGACCAACCTGATTATGTGAATTACCAGTTTTTATTTCAAAAATGTAGTTTTTGTGCTAAAAGCTATAAACCAGTTCACTTGTTGTTCTTGAGACTTTTTCGGATTATCTCTTATGTGGCACTACATGAACTCCCATGTTTGGTTGATCGAGTCTAGTGTTCCAATGTCCACAGGACTTCACGAACAACTTAGTTGAATCAAGTTCGAATAGGTCAAATTTGTGATTTTTTTTTTTTAAGTCAAGATAAGGTGTTGATTTTAGTATCTTGACTTAATGTAGGTATTTTGAGGTGTTGACCTCACCCTGCTTTCGAGAATCGTGATTTGAATTGTCGCTTCGGCCAGGTGAGTTTTATTAAAAATTGTCTATGCAATCAATTGTGCCTTACTTTTGTATGATCAATGTGTGCTTACGAATTATGTAGCCTTCGATGTGAGCTGTACTGGCCATCGAAACGGCTGTCCCCGTATTTATTAAAATAAACCCGAGGGGTTACTCCTACTGACTGGGCATCGATAGAAGCCCGAGGGGCATAGATGCAAAGCCCATGGGGCATTCGTAGCATGACCCAATGAGGGCCTTCAATACATTTACCGGCAGTAGTCTATTGGTATAGATGTGTACATGAGTCTGAACACTGTGAATTTATAACAAAATTTGGTATACTTGATTGATTCTTATATATGTTGTGATCATACAATATCTTTTACTGTATATGCTATGAAAATGATTATTGTATATGTGAGCACTACGATTTCCAACTGTGCTCATTTCCACCTGAAATTAACATTTCAGGTTAAGCAAGGCAGGCGCGACGGCGGAGTAGAGCGAGTGGTAGTCGGTCTATGAGACCGGTTATATATTGGTATGCTTCCGCTATATTTATGATTATATATGATTGATGAATTTTCGAACTCTGAGATTTTATGATGTGTTGAGACACTATTGAGGAGATGCCCCGTTGACATTGTTATGTCTTGAAAACTTATATTTTATTTTGGGAACCCGATTTGGGCGAATTGATGATTTATGGATTTATGAATACCGTTTTGGGAGTTAGATGATTTAAGATATGAAATTGATATTATGTTATGAAAATGATTTGAAATAAATGAGTAACGCCGTAAATGTTTGAAATAAATTTTGAAAAATTTAATCTGATTTTTCTGAAAGTTCGGAATTTCTTTAAAATCAAAGTGGGGCATTATACTTACCGTCGGTAATGTTGTTGTTGGAAAGAGCATGGTTAGAGTTAGGGTTTTGTGAAGTGGTGGGAGGAGGAAGGGAAGACTCAAGATAGGGTCGAGTGAACTCTTTATGTCTTCTTCTCAGTTAGGTCAATAAGCCCCTTCCTTTTGGTTCATGTAAGAAAGGCGAAGGTTCATCCTTTTCCCCCCTTATTGGTACAGCAGCTTCTCTCCCGGGTTGGTGACTCTGTAATTGAATATACAAAGAGAAGGTTCGCCCTCATGTCACGGCTTTCGCTTGCCGATGAACAAATGCACTACCACAGTCCAGCACCAAGAGGGAAGCTCATCTGTCTGAGACACCCCAAATGCGTTCCAAGAGACCTTGTCATAAGCTTTCTCTAAGTTCACCTTCATAGAAAATGGAGCTGGTCCTCTATCCTTATTTCATTCCTCTCCTTTCAGTCTTCGTTCTCAGTTTTTAACTTCACTTTGCTTCGTTCGTTCCCTCTTATTCTATGTCATTTGCTTTCCATAGGATAAGGCTAAACCTTGTCTTTATCATTGGCCTACTTACTTCGACCTTCCCTGGATGATTCATGTAGTCGAGCAATGAGTGGTGTGTCTGCCTAAAAAAATCTTCTAAAGATTACATTGACCTATGATTGATGGAAAGCACTTAGGCAATAAGGGCAAAATCTCTGTTAAATCAGCCTATGAGGATATTATGCAACATATTAATGGTATTCATAGGCAAGCTGGGTCTAGCACAATTAATGGCAAGTTGAAGACTGCCACTTCAACCTAAACTCAGAAATTTCATGTGGAGGGTGTACCACAATTTTGTAGGTAGAAAAGCAAACTTGAGGAGTAAAGGATTGGAGCTGGATAATGTTTGTTCTCTGTGTGGTGAAGGGGAAGAGGATGTGAATCATTTGTTTATATACTGCCCTAGAGTGAGGATTTGTTGGAAACTGGTTGGTATCCAATGGGAGTCTTTTAATCAGGAAAACACAGATATTCAAGCTTGGTGGGAAGAGGTATGCTCTTGTAACAGATTCATAAATCTTTCTCAACGAGTTGGCTTGTCATGTGCTTGATGTGGAGGATCTGGAAGAACAGAAATGAAGAATGCTTCAAAGGAGAATCATTTGATGAACTTACTGTTGTTCATGGGGCCAAAAGAGACTGGTTGGAAAGTCTACATTATGAAGAAGAGGAGATGCAACAGTCCAGGAACCATACAAATATCACAAATTCAGAAGGAGAACAATTTTCCTCTAGAGTAGTGTATGTAGCTTTACACATCAGTGCTCTACATTCTCCTTCTGAAAAAAGTGAAGTTTAGAGGGGTGGCCACTTTGCATGGGGACAGTCTTAAGGAATGGCAAAAAACTTGGGACTGGAATGGAACTGAAAATGAAGCTTGTTTCTTAGCTGTTAGATGGATGCTGGACCTGGCTAGCAAGGAAGGATGGAAGAAGATGGTCTACTTTATAGAGTCAAAGGCTGCAGTTCAGAAACTAAGTGGAGAGGGGCATGTCCCTAATTCATGTTCGGTTATATTTGATGATATCGTTTCTTTACAACAACATTTTGAAGATTGTGTGTTCAAATGCTCCAAGGTTATTTGTAATATTGTGTAACTTTGGACCTTATAGGTCGTGTAGAAAGGGCTCTGTGTAGCTTCTTCAGTGTTTTTCTCTAGTCCATTTCTGTTGTATTAGTATGTAGCATTAACCAGTTGGTTAAACATTGTGTAAAACTTTGAGTGATATATAATTATATGTTCGTTTAAACGACGCTCGCGTCAAGTCGCCGGCCCCTGAAAATCTTTGTCGGGCTTGCTTTGCCGACCTCACCGTCTTAGCATCTCCTCATCCAATTACCTTCACCAGCGAACAACTATCTTCGGCTGTTGGGGGGCCATCGCGCCTTCTCGGTTTGGTGGTAACCAGTTAGGACTTATGGGTTGCCTTACTCCTGGCGGGTTTGCCAATCCATCGCTCTGCAGACCCCCCTCATCTAAGTCGTGGGTCGTCGTCTTCGACCGATCAAGAAAAAAAAACAAAGAGAGGGAGAGAGGAGAATGAGAAGAAGAGAGAGGGGAAGAGAGAGAGAAAGTGTCGTGGAATGTGAGTGTTGGTTTGGAAGGTGATAAGTCTACCTTTATTTACGCTGAATATTAATTGCATATTTAAATTAATCATTTTTTTATAAATTTGGTGATTTTGCAATTAATTACGGCAGATCTTGTATATTTGCTAATACTTACAATTGAGTTTCATTTATGTAATAAAAAATGATATGCCTTGTATAGGGTGCAATTTTCTCATTCAAAACAATATTGAATTGTTATTTCTTTTGCCCATGTAATAGCTTCTGTATCATCATCGAATACTTCCTCCGTAATGAAAACAAAACTGTCCAAAATCTTTGAATGGCACCTGCAAAATATTACGATGTTAAAAAATACTAGTATATTTCGCAATTGAATTGTACTAGCTTAAATCAAACATAATAATTTATCGCATAATAATTTTTAACATGAAAATTTAAATAATACTTTATCTAGAAATAAAAATTCATTTCTAATACTTGTAAATTCCGAATAATGTAAAATTCTATAAGTTAGTAAATTCTAATTTATAACGTATTAATTTCTAAGTTTTAACATAATAAATAATAAATTTTATAAGATAATCAATTTTAATTGATAACATAATAATTTCTAAATTCTAACATAATTTCTATAATAAATAAAATTTTGATTAGTAAAAAAAAATCGCGCGGCCGGCCAATGATACTGGTCAGACTGCCCTTGGCCGACTGGCGATTGCAGATGCGTACGATGACGATCGAATGATAGGCCGGCCAACCACATGGTCGGCCGGCCGGCGATTGCGGCCGACCATGTTGTCTACCGGCCAAGTCGATTGACCGCCACCGTGCACGGCCGCAACCGTCGGCCGGCATCGCCGACCGGCCGACGAATTTTTTGTACCTCGTCATCGCTCATTTTAGCCATAAATCTCTGGAGTTTTAGAGGATTTATAATTTTTTGAGTATTGGGAAAACTTGCTAGAGGTAATACTGTCCAAATAGGGACAATATGTAGTAATAAGGTGACGGTGAATATTAACACCCCTATACTTTAATTATGATTTTGAAATGTAAAATTTTCGTTTATTTATTTATTTATTTATTATTATTATTATTATTATTATTATTATTATTATTACTAGAAGGCTACGGCTGTACACAGCACAGCCTGCCCAAGTTAGGTAGGCATTTGAGTGCAATTGAATTGCGAAGAAGCTAATCTAACATAGGCATGAACATGACATCAAGAAAACATGAATCCGTATAATATATACACAAAAGATGTTTGTAGCAGTTATCCAAAAAGGATAATCGTCAACACTTAATTCTGAAGCATCTACAGGTAAATAGATGCTTGGAATTCTGCCAAGGATTCTTGCAAAAGATAAAAGTGAGTTTGCATGACATCATGCTACCCAAAAGCTACATCTATATGTAAACAGATGGCTGAAATTTTGGAAAACATACATACAAAAACAAAAAGTTTGTTCTATGACACTTGTGCCATTTAAAATATAAATGGCTAAGTCTATTTAGCAGGCCTGTGTTTCTGCTGAAGTTTGCTGTGTGCTTTCATCAGTGGTCGGTTCAACTTCTGTGAAGGTGGTTTTGGATGTTGGTGCGGTGCTTGCCTCGATTTTGAAGGTAAGACGTTTTTTGGCAGCTGAGGTAGAAGTGCTTGGGTTGATGTTCTTTCCATTTTCATTTACAATTGATTGTATAAAATTGTAACAAAAAAGAGAGATTTTTACGATCTTCATAGACATCAAAAGTCCACAAAACTTCACACAAAACTTCAGTACTTTGCGGACTAACAAAATATACTAACCTTTGTTTAAAAGCTCAATAAATATACTTACCAAATAACCAAAAGACAAAAATAATAGCAAGATAACATATGCAGCTCTAGGATTCTTTGGAATTTTAAGACCTTATGATCTTCACTTGTTCTGCACGGACTTAGAGAACCAATTGGATTCAAAGGTAACACATTCACAACCTGTAAGAGGATGACATAAATACACACAATTGAAGTTTTGCTTTCCAAAAAAAAAACTATATATATTATTACAAGTTTACGACAGTTTCCAAAGATATTTGTGTGTATGTGTTAAGGTTAGACTGGAATTCGAACGGGTAATATTTGTAGTAATCCCTAGAGAAAATGATATAAATTTAAAGCTTACAGATTCAAATTTCTCTAGCAATTTCCAAAGCTGGTGGGGTGAGCATGCTGCTCCTCGTCGTTCACGCGAACAAATATTATGTACTCGATAAATATTTTTTGTTGACTACAAAAAGTCCCAAATGAGATTTTCCGAATGTAATCCCAAAATTGTTTGATAAAGCAGTCTAGAAGGACAATAACAAGACTCAAAAGCGTAAGAAACCTGCTATTTTGATATTCTCGTAATGCATTATCAGTTTTTCCAGAGGAAAGGCCCTTGCAATAGGCATTATTTGACAGCGAATGTTTTCGAACTTGAGCGTGCAATGAAACTGCTAGGTTCAAGTTTGGTAGATCCTTTCGTAGCTTGCCAATAGCATGGATTATGCCAACCTGCAAAAGTTGTGCGATTTAGGAAATAATAACCAAGAAAAAAATGTTTATTATGAGAAAAATATGTTATGTACCATTGAGACGGTAATTTTCCTTGGTGATAGCTGAAATGAAGGAGCTGTCATAACTCTGATAGCTCCAACCACCCCATTGTAGTTATTTAGTGGCTCCCCTATTCCCTACTCACAACATATAATCATATAGCAATCAGCACAAATTTAAGAATGTACCCAAATAGCTAATAAAACTACAATATAATGATAACTCCATACTCTTTTAAGTCAATCCGAATACTATTCTAACTCAATTTCAAACGCACACAAAAACAAAAATGCATGCTTTACAAGTAGAGGATTGTCCATCACAGAATGTATTCAACAAACAAATATTCTACAACTCTAGGAAGCAAAAAGAAAACCGAATTTCGAAGCAAACTTGAAAACGATAGCAACAACTGGTCTACTTCATCGTTTGATGTTTACCTTGTTTAGTTAGTCGAAAAAATTGTATAGTCAGCCTAACATAAAAGGCAAGGTTTTCGACCGTTAAAGAACACATATTGGTATCCAGACAAATGAACAACTTTAAGAAAATTTTTTAGAAATAAAAACTGAAGCATAACATATTGTGGAGATACCAACCAAAAAATGTGAGATATATGTTAGTTATATAGCCTGCCATGATCTCAAACTTACCATCTTATACCAATTTTTAGAAAACCGCCCCATAATAGGTCCTTCTTAATGGAAATTGGGAAAACAAAACAAAACATATCAAATGCCAAATTGCCAATATATGATAAAAACTTTCAAGCACACATCTAATGGCCTGCAAACTCATGATATTACATACTCACAATCCTTGAAAGTTCACCAAGAGAAATATCCATCAACAGCCACTTAGCCGTTTGAATAATTCAACTGGATAGAATATTAACATCCGTTGATAAAAAAAAAAATGAGAGGCGTACGTGGCACTGCATTTTTATGTGGCCACGTTGCCCTTCATCATAACGACGTCGATTTAGTTACGACACGGCTGCGTTTTGGGTTGGAGTAAGACGATGTCAGTTTTGTGTGTGAATATACTGATTCGCGTTTCACTTTCTGCACGAGGATCCATTTTTTCCTTTTGGCTAATTTCTCCCGCCCTTGGATCTCTAGGCCACATGTGTTAAACAAAGAAGCCTATTACTTCTTATTTATAAGTGAGAATAATAGAAATAGATGTATGGCCTAAATTAAAGGAGCATGTACACTATAAAAATTTTAAAAAATATATCAGCAAGAAGATATACTCAAAGATGAAAATCTAATTTTTAAAATTAATTTAAATCTAATACTAAACTTAACGAAGTACACTGCAGAAAACATGATTTAACAGTATACTACCAGCACCTTCCCCTCACCAGTCTCCCATCCGTATACTTTTTTGAAACAAAATTGATAAAGTAGGAACATAAAACAGTAACATGCAAGTCTAACACTCCTAAGAACGGATAGCAGAAAGCAAAAGAAAATGAAAAGAAAATTCTACAAATCTGAATGGAAATAACATGCCCAACGACCCAAAGTGTAGAAAAAACTTAAAACAATAAACTTTCCTGATTTTCATGTCTACTGTCGATCGTGAAACACGACAACGGATCCCCCCTTATGAGCTGCAGTAGAAAAATACAATTAACCAAGAGAATAAGAACCCATAGTAAAGGAATTTACAACTTAATGGTCAATTTCAAACCAATCGAAACAAGAATATGAAATTTACCTCACATAGACTAAAATGAAGGTGCAAAAACAAATTCAATGCGAGTTTTCTTGGTTAATTCAATGCAAAAATTTTAGTCTATAGTGCAGGACTGTATAGTCGACTATTACCAAACGCACTGTATAGTCAACTATTACCAAAGTCACTGTATAGTCAGACTATTACCAAATTCAAAATTAAGGAGCCCTGCACTATAGCACCAAAATTAAGGAAGAACCTGTAAAAAGATGTGAATTGTCGATCATTATATGTTTTTATTATTATTTTATACATTAGACTAAAAAACAAAACATACAAGTCTAAATTAACTCATGTTAGGAGGTATTAGTGGCCTCTTCCATTTGACCTCTCTCTGGTCAGGAAATCAAGTTACTTATCTTCGTTCCACTGACTGTAGGCACCCATATCCAGATAATTGGTTATAGCATTGAGTGCTTCTGCAGGCCGACCAGATTCATGTTGCATTATGCATGAAGATTAAACCAAATAGTAGCAGATATTCTGCATTTTTTTCCTTTAAAATATATTGACACACAGCCAACCATTGCCTAAGATCCTGGAACCACAGAAGGGCTTTAGATGCTACATAAGAAATTGCAAATGGTAAAACTAAAAGGCAATCATTCATAAGAAAGTGAAAGAAAAACTCTTAAAGTGCACCTACCAGTGAATCATAACACAATGAAAAAGGTTCATTAGCTGATTTGATGTTTCATAATAATCTCCATGGTACGTCATAAAAGCTTGTTCCACTTGAGGAAGAAGACCCATGTGCAAATTATTCTACTTTCTTCATTCTCACGTTGGTCGTAATGTACTTCGTCTCAACTTCTTTTCCCTAATGCCGCCTCTCCGCTAGAAAAGGTGCCATGCGCACTGCGTGCATGCACGGATGTCTCCGGGCTAAATCGGAGGCCCACAAGATGTCGTGTAGACACATCTACCACTCGAACTGTATCCTCCCGTGGCAAGATCTGCATGAGGATCCCCATCAGACCAATACCAGATTTGGAAAAAAATGAAAAAATACAAAGAGATCAATTCAATCAAAACCCGAATTAATACGGTTATGCAGAAACATTTTTAAAAAAAATAGCAAACAATATAATTACATGTGAACCACTTCACGGATAGTAACATGTAAGCTCATAACGCACATACAGAGAGTGAGAGAGGGTTCAAAACAGAAAACCAAAAAAGAAAAGAGTATAATCTGAAAAGGATACTTAGAACCAACAACAAAGGCCAGCAAATCACTCGACATAAAAAAACAATTTCCAATGAGTATAATCTGAAAATGATACTTACAATTCGCCAAGTGAAGCACCGAACGGCCGCTTAAATTGAGGGTTCATATACACCTCGACCCCTAATCGCTTCATCTCTCTACACAGCACCAACTTCAACGTCAACAGAAAGGAGATTACGGGAAATTATAAACAATAAATATATATATTCAAATACAAAGATTTGACAATCGAAAAAATCAAAAGAAAGTAAACTGTGAATTATCCTCCTTACGGCAAAAAAAAGGATGAAAAAGATAAAAGATCTAATCCAATCCAAAACCCAACTACGGAAGTGAAAGAACAAAATCGTTCCGATCAAACTGTTCCTTGAGAAATCACTGTAATCTTTTTTTTCGCTTTTATCTTCGGCAAAAACAGGTTTATGAAGCTTTTTCTATGTGAAATAGGCGTAGGAACGGCGGCAGACCAACGACTCTCCTTCACGCCTAGACAATCGATCGAAGGTCACGACATGTGTATCGTGAAGATCAGAGAGTGAGAAATAGGGGGAGAGAGAGAGAGTTCAGCCGCGACAGGGAAAGAATGAGAGAGGATATTATTTAAGGCTTATTCGAACGGTTGAGATTTAACCCCTAAAATCAACGATCTAGAAAAGACCTTATAAAAACGGCGTCGTTTTGATTGTGAACGACATGTGCTCTTAAAATCCTTGCGCCACGTGTCGACCGAAGGAGCTCATACCTTCTTTTTATATATTATTAAGATAAGAGTAATAGATTTTTTGTAAATTTGTAAAGTAAAAATTTTGAAACCTGTAAAATTTATTTACTCAGTTCAACTGTTACCCGGAGGCCGCCGCAGGACATTGACCGGATTAGAGTTGAAAACATTGCTTATGACTCGTGAGTCGTGAGTCGTGAGTCGTAAGCAACTTTTTCCGATTACTTGTTCCCGCCAAAAACCCTCTAGGCACACTCTCAACCATCGTACCGCTCAAACCCTAAGAGTATCTTTGGGAAAAAAAATCGAATTTTTGAAACTAATAGATTTACCATAGCTAACATTTTCAAGATCTATTAGGAGGAATTAGAGAAAAGGGTGGAAAATGAGGGGCGGAACGGTTCAGATTAACTGGCACGAGACGAAGCCGGTGCTCGCCTGCGATTTCCATCCGCTCTCCGGCCTCCTAGCTACCGCCGGCGCCGACTACGACATCAAGGTAACTTTTCCCTAAGTGACCCACTATTCATTTTCTCCATGTGAAAGCCACAGTCTCGCTCGATTTTGCCTCCACTAATTAACAGATCAAGTTCGTTCATGAAATGTGAATTTCTTTGCCGCTTCAAAAACTAAAAGTTAAATGTCGGAATTGAACTTCGAGAGCGACAGCATTGAGCGAATTTCCCCTGACTAACTTTTCTGACTCTTAGCTTATTTGTGCTAAATCATAAATGAATTCTAGTTTAAACCACCAAATATGTGTACGTTGGTCACATAAGAGGAGGCCAATGTTTGAACTCAGTCGACTCTTATGAGTATCTTGGATAACATATTCTGCTTTGTGCGAAATTTATGCTTCTNTGATTAAAGTTGGAATTGGCTTTTGTATTAGCCCAAAGAGCCAACAGCAATACTAAGTTCAGTTTATTTACTATTAACAACTCAAGAAAGTATAAATATGCAGCTTTGGGCAACAGTTTCGGGCATTGATGAGAATAAGTCTCCTGGAGTCACTTATCACAACAGTCTTTCGTACCATAGTTCTGCTGTTAATGCAATTCGCTTCTCTCCTTCTGGTAAGTTTCCTTTCGGTTATCTTTGAAAATTAAAGGTTCACTCATTTTGTTCCAATGATGTGAATAAGTTTATCTTTAATGCTTTTATTTGTTACAAATCGGCATTAACAGAACCTTTCTACGCAGCATCTGGTGTGCGTGATTTTCTGGATCTGTTTGGTATTTGTTTTATTTTGTGCATGATTTTCATCTCCTCATTGCCGTTTATGGTTATTAGGAGGGGGGCATTGGTTGGTACCTCTGTGGCTTATTTTGTGCCTAAATACTTGTTTATAATGTCAGGGCATATTTTAAATGTTATAAGGTTTAGGATAACTTGCACCGTCTGCTTTAGACATTTAAATGCCAATTAACTATGATTTCCTTTTCCATTTTTTCCCTTTTTCTTTTGTTTTTATTTTCTCCCGAATGTGGGGTTTGAGAATCTTATTGTCAAGGTTCCAGTTGATAGTGATGGCTGGAAAGAAGGATTTAATGTCGTTATAACTCATTATCTAGTATTGAACTGTGGCTTTTGTTTTGTTGAGCTGGGGCTGAAAGAAATACAATTAAGTTAGAAAAAATGCATTAATTTTGCTTATATGTATGTATGCATGTTGCTGGATCTTTTTTCACCTTTTCATATGATCGTATAATTTTCTTTTTAATTGCAGGAGAGCACCTTGCCTCTGGTGCTGATGGTAGGTAATTTTGTGTCATAGTAGTCTAATTGCTGCCCCTTTGGTTCTTGTTTTCAAAAGCTGTCACGAAGCCTTAGAGTAGATAACTTCCTTTTGCAGGTGGCGAACTGATTATATGGAAATCACATGCTACTGAAGCTGGTGAAGTGTGGAAAGTCCTCAAGTCATTGGTGTAAGAATTTAATGTAACTGTTACAAATTGCTTGTTCAGCATGTCAGTTGGAAGAAAGTATATGTGTTATAGCATATGTTTGAAAACGGTTGAGAGCTTAATCATTCGTTGAGTGAACTACTGCTAACTCAAGTGATTGATGGTCTTCCTTAATATTCATTTGTGAGCTACTCCAGGTTTCATCGTAAGGATGTATTAGACCTGCAGTGGTCTCCTGATGGGGCATATCTGATTTCTGGTTCGGTTGATAATTCATGCATCATCTGGGATGCTAATAAGGGTATGACAACGAAAAATTTATCACCATTGTCATGGTCAACTTGAATGCAATTTTTGCAGTCTGATGTTTGTTTATGTTCAGGTTCTGTGCACCAAATCCTAGATGGTCATTTTCATTACGTTCAAGGTGTAGCGTGGGACCCATTAGGGAAATACGCAGCATCCCTCAGTTCAGATAGAACCTGTCGGATTTATATAAATAAGCCAGTAAAAGTAAAAGGCGTTGAGAAAGCAAGTTATGTCTGCCAACATGTCATCTCAAAGGCAGAGTCTCAGACAACAGATGAGCCTAAGGTTTTAAGACCATGTAACCGTGATAAGTATTTTTATTATACATGCATGGGTTGAGATACTTGTATAACCAGTGTTACTGCACTTTCTGAAACAGTTTGCTAAAAGCCACCTTTTTCATGATGAGACTCTGCCATCTTTTTTTCGAAGATTAGCCTGGTCGGCAGACGGGTCGTTTTTACTTGTACCTGCAGGTATAACATGTAAATCTGTTTCATCTGGTTTAGGTGGCAATTGAATACAAAATGTTAAAATTTCTGTCTGCTCAGTCAAGATTTATCTAATTGAAACTGGAAATTAAACAAAAACTTTTCTCAAAAAATAGTTTTCATTTCATCTCATTGTTTCTCTCCAATCCAACTAACACAATTATGAAACAAAAAGTGACCATTATTATATATTTAAAAGTTCAAACAAAAAACACTATTTACTCACTGATATTTCTAATTACCAATCATTATTAATTATTTATTATATTTATACGATATCAACTTTAATCATTATATTTTTGTTTTATCTTATATACGTTCACAATCTCAAATATATCTCACTTTTCTCTGTACAACATTTTCCACTTCCATTTCTATTTTCATAAGAGATAATTTTTTTCGGAAAATTTCTTATGTCCGTCTCAACTTTAGTTACTGTCCAAGCATGATATGTTTCTTGAGTAAATGAAAGTTTTGAAGCTAAAACTACTATCTTAACTTTATTTGATTTTCATTTCAAAGTATGTCTTATGTATGTAAACATGCGTAGAGAAAATGTCGTGCCAGTTGTTAAAGATTCATGTCACTCTTTGTTTCAGGTTCTCACAAAAGCACACCTACTTCGGAACTAGTAAATACAGCTTATGTTTTTTCACGAAAGGATCTCTCCAGGCAAGAATCAATATATTAGATTCTGATTTGGTCAATTTGTAGCTTCCTCTTTTGGTGACACCTTGTTTTTAGCTCTCGTTATAACTCACGATTATATATGAATGTTCAATTATACGATGTAAAGCTCTATTCTTCTTTTACAAATCATTTCTTCTTAATATCTTGCCGTGTTTCAAAGCAGGCCGTCACTCATGCTTCCTGGTGCCAGCAAACCTGTTGTAGCTGTACGCTTTTGCCCCATGGCATTTAAATTGCATGGAACAAACTCATGTATTATTCCTAACTTTATGAACACTTCGGGAAATAATTTGCTTTCATATTCTAAAAATAAATGAATAAATAATCATTTTCCTGTTTTTTCTATTGTTTTCTCGTATAGCTTCATTTTTCAAGCTCCCCTATCGCTATATTTTTGCTGTGGCCACTTTGAATTCATTATATATCTTCGACACTGAAAGCATTCAGCCGATAGTAATTGTAGCCGGAGTTCATTATGCTGCCATAACAGACATCGCATGGTACTATTTCTTCTTCTTTTGGTTCTTTTATTTTATTTTATTTTTTTAATAAAACCATTCTCCCAACACAAATGGTGGTGTATATTTTTCGGTAACTGAATAGGTACTGTTCATATAGGTCACCTGCTGGTAATTATTTGGCATTGTCCTCCCAAGATGGTTACTGCACGTTACTTGAATTTGAAAATCAAGAACTCGGCTCACCTATTTCATTGCCAGGTTGGTATGCATTTTCCTACAATTATTCTCTGTTCAATTTAATATCAGTTTATGTCCATGTACCGAAAGAACAATTTTATCAAGTAGGAGAAAATAATGTCAATGGTGAGGCAAAGATGTGCCCCATTCCGGAAGCTATCAAAGTCAGTAGTCAAGGTGCTTCCATAGAATGTAGAAACGAAATGGCCGAGAACTTTAGTAAGGCTAAGGATGAAAGTAAGGACGAAAGTCGTGCTTCACCAAGCACAGAAGTTCCTGCAGGTAAGGCCACCAAGAAGCGCATTACTCCCATGGCCATTGATTGATTGATTTAGGCAATATGTTGGCTTATCTGTCAAATCCTGCCCCGTCCTATGATATAGAATATAGAAGGCAGGAATTTACTTCAGTGTAATGTCTGCAAATGATGGAGAATTGAAAAAAAAACGTGTAGTTTGGGCTACATTTCAGGCTTATGACATGCTTCTTTGCTTTGGTCACTTTTGTTTCGCAAGTGGTGGATAATTTACGGGCTAATTATGGCGTCGTTGCGGTTGGTATGATATGAACTTGTAAACTATTCATGTGCTGAAGTCACAATATTTCAGCACGGAATAATGCTCACACTTTTCAAAATACTAGGAAGATGCACGTGCTTCTCACATGAAATTGTTGTTGTTTTTTTTTTTTTATACTTAAAATTATTTTTATCATGAGATTTAATTTAGTACTGTTATATAATTTTTTCCCATTATTTAACAAAAAATGGTGCATTTTATGATAACAATAATAAATGTATTGAATAATGAAATATGATATTTAATACTATTAAACGAACAAATGAAATTAAATAGAGAAATATTGGGTTGAAAATCCAAAATAATATTATTATTTTTTTGTGAAGTTTGAAATTCTAAAGAAATTTATGTCGTCTTTGATTTTATTATTTAATGATATTGTCGTTATGCTTAATATAATGATCATTATTATTGTCAACATAACATAGTTTTTTTGTCTTCCTTTTACATCATACTCTAAATAACTCGAATTTGCTATAACATTCATTTGTATTTTTTTTATTATTATTATTGATTGAAAACTAACCCACTATGGTTGAATGTTTTATTCTCTATTATTTTGATTATAAAAGTTGCAAATTCTGTTACATATGCAAGTATAATATTTTTGTAATATTTAGATATATATTTTCTCTTTAGATATAATGATATAAGAGATAAATAAATATTTGAAAATGCCTTATAGTCGTAATTATTTAAAAAAAGAAAATTTACTTGAAAAACATCTTGATTGATTTAGGTACCATCTATATATATTTAGGGTCGCGCTCCGATGAGAATGGTGGTTAGTGAAAGAAATAAGATTACATCATTACCATTAGATCAAATAATCCAACAGATGAAAAAAAGGTCAATATTATACATTCATTAAGGGTATTTAAGACATTTTATAGATTCCATCCACAAACCTAATCTTATAAGTGGTCCCCACATCCTAATCCCACCAACCCCCCATCTCTCTCTCTCTCTCTCTCTCTCTCTCTCTCTCTCTCTCTCTCTCTCTCTCTCTCTCTCTCTCTCTCTCTCTCTCTCTCTCTCTCGTAGGCCGTCACCTCTCCCCGCCGACGGCGCCTATCTCCGGTGAATCCGGCCCGTCCGTTAGCAGCCGGGCGATCGGCGTGCACCACGGACACCGGCTAACAACATCTTCCGTCTTGCCGTCACCTCCGAGAAATCGACAAAATTCCGTCCGCGACCTCGCCACCGCCCACCATCGTTCTCGACGGTGCTGCCGCCGCCATCTAGCAGGTTCTTCTCCACAACGACGAACGATCCAGACGACCAATTTTCGCCAAGAAATATGAAGCCATGGTCTCCCAGTCAAAATCGACCATTGATTCAAGAGTTCGAAATTCATGAGCACCATCTCGACGTGGGATTTCCTGGCAACAAAAACGAGTTATCCGGTGCCTGAAGAAACTCCTCGTGGTAAGAAATTTAGAAGACGAACAGATAAGGTGGTCGGACACGATAGCCTCTTTCAGATCATCCAGCCATGGCGGACGCCGTGTGTTTTTAGGTGGTTCAACAGCCAGAACGGCGGCTGAACATAGTGGATCCGGTCGGTGACTCTCCGGTGGTCGAGACAGCGGCGACGGGAGGGTTGGTCTGAACGGCCCATAATTTTTTTATGCTAGGGGCTTAGTTTTGGAAATTAGATCCATCCAAGGGACCTATATGCAATTTCTATAATTTTGATTATATTACAATTTTGTACTTGGGCTCAATTTTTAATTTATAAATAATATGATAAATACACATTAATAGACTAATAGTAAGAAAAGTACACTGTAGTGCTTGTGTATATGCACGTTAAAAAATATTTGTGTTGTAGGATGCACAATAGTGATAGAACATATGCACAATAAGGTATGTTATATTGCACTTTAGCATAGCGCAATGACTAAACTAGTCGTACGTGGGAAGTAAAAAATACACATATGTTTCAGTCTTTCACAATTAATTTTTCAGATATTTCGATTTTCATTTAAAAATAACCAAGAATATCCGAATATACCGAACTAATTAATCAATATTATTTTTACGTTCTATATATAATTCAATTATTTGACCAATTAAAGATCATTTCGGTTTGGATTTAGTTTATTTGAGATAAAAGGTTGGTCGGTTCAGTTTTTTCTTTTTGTTTTTTTCTTTTTTCTTTTCAAAAGTTCGACGGAGTTACTCCGGTCGACCGATTCACTCAATGAAAAATCCAAAGAAAGGTGCCTTTTTGGTAAACTTGTGATAATGCACATTATTGTTAGATGAAATGCACAAGAACATTAGATGGATTGCATATTAATGCATGCAACAATGCACAATAGCGTTTATACGCGCATTGATTCCATATGAAATAATAAAAATACATTGATACTATATTGTGCATTTTCATATGTATGAATATGCAATTAATTTATCGGCAATGTGCATTATGTAGTGCAGATATTGGCTTGTAAAGTTCGACCAAAATAAAAAAAATAATAAAAAATAACAATGCAAAGTTTTGGTCCGGATCTTTATATGTCAGTCCGATTATCGAAATTGTACTTTCAAAATTTTAGTTATTTCAATACGGTTGAACATCAATAACCAACTAAAATATATAAAAATATTATTTTTTATATAATTCTTTTACATGTATATTATATTTTAAGTGAAAAAAATCATAATATATTTTATTATAATATTAAATACTTTTTTTGTAATACAAATAATAATTTATTTGAGTTATTTTGGTTAATTCGGTTAATCAACAAATTAAACCGATTATGTCGGCTTGATTTTAGTTTGTCTTGGGATAAAAGTTCGATCGGTTCGATTTTTCGAAAGTTCAACACGATTTTTTCAATTTTGACATTCAATCGGTCTGTTCAACCAAACAAACTGATGAACAACCTAAACGAGTAGGCATTTTGGTAAATTTCTGTAGGCGTTGATGATTCTACGATTTCGTGAAAAATATTGTGGTATATTTATGTATCATTATTGTGCAATTTATGTATCCTTATTGTGCAATTTATATATCATTATTGTGCAATTTATGTATCATTATTGTGCATGTATTGAATTTTTATTAAATTACCGATTTGCCTCATGTGCTCAATTGAAATATACTGAATTTAATAAATTGCAATTGAGTCCCTAATACGTATCAAATTTACAAAAAAACCCCCCACAATTCATTCAACTACTCAGCCCCAATTACTTCAATCGTCGGCCATGTCCACCAGGACCCACCAGCCCACCTCCGTTGCTACAGTCATCGTCACCTCCGTCCTCGCCAACCAGGCCACACCTGGCTTTTCTTACTCCGCAACGCCACCCCCGTCCCCTTCCACTACAACATTAAA